TCCAGACTTATGCTACTTTTTTGTGTAACCCCCAAACTATCACAAATTTTTATAGGGCTGATAATATGTACTTACTCTTTGTAATGTTCGTTGGGAAATGTTTCATTTACATTAAAGAGAAAAAAAAATAGAAGGATCAAACTTGTAAAATGAGTTTCTTGAGGTAAATTATACAGATAGTTTTAAATTTATTTGAAACTTACGTCTAAAATATGACAAGCATCAATTAACCACTCGTTTTTGGGCAATGTCTGTAGAAATAACCTACGTCCGTGTGCTTGCATGCGTGCTGAGGATGAGGGGGTGCTTGTTGGCGCAAGAAAAGTAACAAATTTGGGTTTGGAGCAACTTAAACAAAAGAGTATAACCGACCACTAAGGATCATACGTAGGGGATTTGAGCTATAAAGGGCAGTGAAATACCCAAATTACCCCCACCTGCTTGATATCTTAAGGGCTCGGAGTCTCGCGCACTGTGCGGAAGGTTCTAATAGGATTCATACTCTAATCATAAATCAAATTATAGCTAACTACATAGATAAACGATAGCTAACTACATAGCAATGTGCGGAAGGTTCAATAGGATTCATACTCTAATCATAAATCAAACTATTGCTAACTACATAGATAAACGATAGCTAACTACATAGATGAGTGATTTGCGGGGTTGAGCCGTTACTGTAAAGATTCTAGGCCTGATTTGGAAGCATTTAAGATTTAAGGGACCAAGATAGAAAAATCCCTTTTACTTTTTCCACCTGTGACAGATCTTAAAATTACAGGTCATAATAAGCAAAACCATTTCCCAAGGGGCCCAAAACCAACACCAAAAAATAATTAGTGCATCTCCAAGGGCCGGAAAAATCTGACCCCTCAGCTTAATTAAGGGACTTCGGAGGGGAAGCTGCTCCAACGAGCCGAAAAAAACGCCCATTCACCCCAAAACCCTTAACTCTCTCCCCAAATTAAGGGGAAGGTTAAAATCTCTTAATCTTTTCCTTATAATTTTACTAGTTTTTATGCACGTGCAATGCACGTGGTAAATTTTTTAATATTATTTTAAAATATAATTTTATTTAGGAATGTAAACAATATAGCCAGCATATGAATTGAAGCTAAAAATTCACAATTAGCGACCTTCAATTTCTCTGTTAGGAAGTGGCATCATTTGAGGTGAGTTAAAAAATTTGCCAGCCTATAAGATGGGGAAAAATATTACTCATTTGTTACACAAACAAATTGCATTCTAGGTATATTTCCATTGTTCATATTCTAAAAAGACTAATGTTTTAAATGGAAATTCATAATTTTTGTCATTATCCTATTTTTTTCAAAATATTCACTTTATATTCTTGAACTCAAAAGCAAATGAAAACATACAAAAAGAGAATTGTATGCACACGTCAACTGATAAATAAAAATAAACAAATACCTTCTGTAGAACAAGCATACACTCCAATAGCTCATTACTATTGACCAGAGATTCTCAATAGTAATCTATTCGTCTCAATTCCTACTATCTCACATGCTTTATTTTCACCATCAACAAAGATCATCTGAAGACATATATTACACATTGCAAGTTTTTGCTCCTGACATCTCATAGTATCCCACGAAAGTATTAAAATAATTTTCTAAGATGCAAGTCAGTTGCGGCAACACTCCTAGGTACTACGTGGAAAGAGTATAGTCCTAAAAATGGCTTAACAACGGTTATGCTTTTGCCCATAGATGGACAAGCATTTCCTGGTTCAAGCAGGTATTCCACACACCATAATTTTGGCATATCTCACATGGTGTACCTTTGATATCAACTTTCTGACACAATAAATTAGATTGTCTTGCTCTTTACAAACGTGAAAGAGTTAAAATAAATCACAGGACAACTACCTGTAACAATAATTTTTTTAGCATTTACAAAGCTAAGAGGCTAATCTCTAACAATATCTTTCTGACACTAATTATATATTGTTGCATTAATGGCCTCACAAACAACTAAGTAACAGTTATAAAATACACAAATATTGCTGCTTTCATCATGAACATATAACAGATGACAATGGCATATTGAAAAGACATTTGGCGATGGAAAACAAACAATAGATTGATGTGTGATTACAATACCTGAAAATCAGACATTGTAACATTATTGCTGGCTAAATCTTCAGGGGACAATGGTTGCCGCAACCAGTCATCTGTTTTTCCCTCTTGAAATCCAGATTTCCTCTTCTCCATTATTCTTCTCATTGCCAGATTGCCGGCTTTGTTCACCAGTGCGTTCAAATGAACTCCCACAAAACCTGGAGTAGCCCTTGCTATCTTCATAAGATTGAATTCACCCTCAAGATTGCATTTTCGAGTAAGAACTGACAGGATCTCTAGACCCATATGATAGGAGAATTACATAATCCTGATGTTGTAAAAAAGGTTTTCTCTGTAGGAATTAATCCTATGTAATTTATACATAAATATTCAAAACTGTAATGACTTTTCATAATTTTCTTAGTTAATTATGGGCCACATTTTATTGTTTCAGCTATTAAATTGAAGAAATAAAAGCAAAATAAATGTACACACGGAACTTCCTCCCTTCTGGCCCGAAAAGTGAGATTACAACCAAACTCAATTAAGTTCTGCATTTCTCCTAAAAAGGTGAACTGCAAAAAATGCTCCGTTTTATTGAGTAGGAAAACAATTAGCAAAAAGAGCACGAAAATACCCCATCTTATGCATAGTACATTAGCTTTCTGGAAATTTCTTAAATTTTAATAGGCTGCATATCGTGTGACCAAAAATGCTAGTTACAAACCATGTCACATGATAATGCTTTCTAAACATATTAGACCAATCATACCTAATATGTCGACTTTTCCATCATTTACTTATTCATTTCTGCATACAAAAACTTCTTTAAGAGTATATACACTAAAAGAAGCTGTCAGGTCCCCTTATAAGTTCCCCTTATCTGATTCGTAACTCTATAAATATTTTAAAGAATTGTTATTTCTTAGTTCTCGGGAAAACATCCTTGATACAAACTCAGAACTCCATTACTTGTCCCCATCTTTGATACAAACTCAGAACTCCCACCAGAATCGGTTTCCTCCTATGCCATGTAAGTTTCCTCGCCTTTTGAGTGTATTTTGAAACCTACATTTAACAGTGGTCTACTATATCTTTTCCAGTGGCAAACTTCATTAGCTATACTCAAGGGGCTTAAAGGAAACACTGAAAACTTGAAGGATTCACACTGTTGTGTCAAAATATTACATTTTTCTTTATCAGTCATCATGGAATCATGCAATATATGATATATGAAAACTCAATAACAGTGAAGGAGACATATTCCAGCTTTACAATTTAGAAAGAGAACTGATTTGATGGAGACGACGCAAAACAAAAAAACCTCAACATGCAGTGGAAAAGATAGCATTTTCTCTTTTTCTTTCCATCATACAAAATGAAAGCAATAATAGTAAAAGGAAGCAGCAAAGTGAGCCAAAACCATAAAACTATCAAATATCTGTTCAAACCAATTTCTCATCATAGGGCATCAAAGGTATTATATGTATCATTACAGCATACTCCTTGTTTGCCCCCACAGTAACAGTCTGATACTGATACTATTTTTAGGCAAAGAGGCAAGAAATATGTTCAAGGTGCTGAGTTCAACAAGGTTTTGGGATTTATTACCAAGTCAATAAACAATCTACAAGTAATCATCGATATAATACCTACAACGACTACTTATATGAATTAAAGAGACAAATGCAGATGTATAACAAACCTCCTCAGCAGCAATTTTCAAACCGTTCTGAAGTGAAACCTTACGCAAATAGTTCTCCGGCCGATAATAATTCCCCTGTGAATTCACACAATTACCTGTCCCCATCTTTGATACAAACTCAGAACTCCCACCAGAATCGGTTTCCTCCTCTTCCCCCTCAGTGTACCCACTAACAAACCCCGGCTTCCTTTGCTGTGGCTGTTGACTCCCTGACATCCCTGTCTCCCTGGACGAGCTGAATTCAGAATACCCCGAGTACCCGTCGCTCGAATACTGGTTATTTCCAAACTTAGAGTTCACATTTGGGTTCTTCCGTCTCAAAATATCATCTTGAGGGGATGAATCCAAAGAGTAACTCCCTCTGTAGATCTCCTCCCCCTCACTGTAATTCTCCACGACCGTTATTGTCCTCGATGGATGGATCACTCCACGAGGAAACTGCCCCAAATTTCTCCGGTGGTGGAATCCTTAATCCCCCGCTACCGCTTCTTACTGCTCGAAGATGATCCATCCGTTGCTACAAAAACCCCCAAAATTAGAAGAAGAAGGGGAAAAAAGCAATTTTTTTCCTGATGCCTAAAATCTGATATTTGATGAGAAGATGGAAGGGAACGTTTGTGGATGATGAGGATAATAACAAGCTACTTGATGACTATAATAATCATCTTTGCAATTTGATAACCGACAAGGAAATTCGTAACAGATGGAACGGAGAACGAAAGGAACGAAGGCTTTACAACTTCTGATTTTTGAGTAACGAAAAAATTAATTAAAAATGTTAATGAAATGAAAGATAAGGATAATTTTGTTATATTTACAATAGTTGAAGGGTAATTTGGGGTAGGAAAAGTTTTTCTAGGACTTCCTCTTTTAAAGGGTAGATAGATATTAATATTTTTTACTGGAGTTAATGTATAGTTAATCAAATTTAGTTAATGTATAATTAATTCAAAATAAAATAATAGAGTTAATGTATAGTTAAATGAAATTATTATTAAAATAATATGAATTTAAATTTAAAATAATATTTAACTTTTAACATGATTTATATGAATTAAGTATTATATAAATTAATTATATGTTAAATTTTAACATGATTAATTAATTTAATGATTATATAAGGTAATTTCTTAATTTAAATTAATTAATTAATTATTTCTAGTTATTAATATTTATTTACTTATAAATAAATCATACACCAAAAAAATAAAATCTCGATTCAAAGATGCAGCACGACGACGTGATATGGCAAGTCATCAGGCACGACCACTGCAGTTTCATGGCCAAGTACTCATTTCTATCTCTCATTCAAAGTCTAGGGCTTAGTCTAACGTTCAGTAAACTAATTTTCTTTTCTTTTTTGTTTTTGTAGAATTACCACCGGAATATTTTGCAGAAACCCTTATAATGTTACGGGCATCTGCAATCGGAGCTCCTGTCCTCTGGCCAACAGCCGGTATGCTACGATTCGAGATCATGAGGGTATTTAATCCATTAATTATGTTGTTCTTTTTTAAAGCTTAAGTTAAGATTAGCATGATTGAGTTGCTAATGACTTTTGAAGTTGGAAGCTTGGCGTGTATTGGGTTGCGAACGGCTTGAATGATTGCAATTTGTTCTGATAATCAGTAAAGTGCAGTGGTGTTCATGTTTTTCTGTAAGTCGAAAGGAGGTCTTGATAATGTGACGGTCAGAGATACTCTTTTTGGAGGGGCTTTTTCGGAGAGAGGAAATAAATTAGGAAACGTTAGCAAATTGTAAAGAGGAATTGGAAATGAAAGATGTGGTTTTGAAATTTACCGAAACGGTGGTCTGTGACACTTCCTCCTGCACTGTAATATGACATACTACTCCCCCCCTCCCCCCCCCCTCCTGATCTTTCTATTTGGGTATGGCAACGATGGACCTTATATAAATGTATATGCCTGTGATGTTTAGTTTGCGCCCTCTTATGTAATCGATGAGTTATTTTGATTTCCCACTTCATTATTACATCTTTTTGAGGGTTATGATTGTTGTCTACTCATACATAATCATTTACTCTTGATTCTCTATGCAGGCGTGTTCTACCTATATATGATAATACTATTGAAAAGGGCTCTATGCAAACAAGCTGTGCGGAAAGAGTTAAGCTTCCCAGAAGACTATGAAAAATACGGCATATTAGAGCATATTGGACAAACCATTTGGTATGCTACTCTTGAGTCAAACTAACTTGAAAAATATGTCCAGGTTGTATCTTGGAAGAGATAATATAACACAATCCTTTTTTCTTCTTCAGGAATTCTGGCCGAAGCTTCTTGTTCACAAGATCAAGCAACGACTAACGAAAATGACACAATATCGCATACGCATGAGGAAGCTTGAATTGAAAGTGAGGTAAGGATTTATGTTGTCTTTCATTGGTGCATCACATTCTGCATATGGTTCGGTAAATGGCAATCACATCTCTGCCAGATTATTTCATGGTGTAAACTCTGAAGAATGATAATCACTAGGAATGGATGAATTTATGTAATGCAACCAGTGGCGGAGCCACATTAGCCTTGCCCTGGGCAGTTGCCCAGGGCAAGATTTGAAAATATATATAACATCGTCGGTATATAATTTGAGCTGAATTCATAGAATGTTTGGAATTAGTTTATAGTTAACTGTAGAGATTATGTCAAGGACTAAGAAAGAGAATTTATTGTGATAATTAATCATTTATGATGCATAATTAAATCGGCACACAACCTTGAAAAATTACTCTCGGATGAGTCTAGCAGTGTCGATACATAATTAAGGAGGAGGTTTTCTTTTTTTCCCCTGAGGAAGTTGAGGGCGGCGAACATGTCGACGATGTAGAGGAAGGCGTTGTAATACACTCGTGAGGTCTTTTAGACAACCTTTATTTTTCACCCAGGGAAAAAAATAATCCTGGCTACGCCACTGAATGCAACTAATATTATCTATGTTACCTTGGTATCAGACTCTTAGGCTGATGTTTTTGTAATGTAACAGCAACAAAACAACAACAATGGAGCCCTTCAAATTTTCTTTTGTTCTATCCCTCAGGGCCTCAACCTATTAAATTGTGTTGATATGCTAACCCTATGGGTTTCCATAATTGTTCTTTCACATACTGCGTATCTTCATAACACTAGCACCAACGTCTTTCACTGTCTTTTTAAGTGAGTAATTGCTTTTGGTCTTGTAATTTAGTTTGCATGTTTTTACTTGAGCTATTTATCTTCCAAATGAAGACCGTTAAACTTAATAAAATATTTGTGCTTAAAACTTGGATTCTTCACCTGGCTTCTATTTTTAGAGTATGAGACTAGGTGATGGGGAACGGCGCGAGGGCTTCGATCTAGAGGCGAGAAATCATCGACGGCTTGGCAGAATGATGTTGAAGTCCATGACAGAGCGGTAACTGATGTTACTGTTCACAGAATGGACAGTAATCTGAACGGTAGAATTGGGCTGTTTTGTGAGGTTTTAGGGCTATATGTTGGGAGGACAGAGTGAGAGATTGCAATCTATGGATCAAGACGAGAGGGCGTTGGGATTTGTAGATAACTAGCTAGGCCTCACACCTAGAGGTCTCACACTCGAGGGCTTCATATCCCAAAATGGCAAATCACGTGCCAAGAACATCTCACATGCTCAAGAGAGATTTCTCAAACTCAAAATTTTATTTATCAATGTCTATTTCTCATGGAGGATTACATCTCTTATTTGTAGAAAAGAAAGGATCCTGTTGAGGAAGCAAATCAAAATCCTAATCAAATCAAAACCTAACAAAACTAAAAGATGCAATCAAATAAAATCCTAATTGAAGTAGAAAGAGATCTTAAAAATCAAATCCTAAAGAAATCCTAACTAAAAATAAGATGACATATAATTAAATAAAATCCTACCGAAAAAGGAAATATTCAAATAAATCCTAATCGTATAATATGGAATGTCCACGATCGTTCTGCATCACTGGGCATTTCCTCTAGTTATCATACATGAATCGATAAGTTTTCTAAGACAAATTCTACGAGTCTATGACTTAGCTTATCGCAGTACATGAGTATGCTCTTTCGCAGTCTGTTGTCACTTCAACACTTGTAAACATTCTGTAGATTGTTTCCACCTCACTTGCTTCCTTGTGCAATAACACAATTGTCTTCTCTCCATCTGTTTCCTCATTGATTTTTGCTGTTCGCCTAAATCAAATCTCGTCTTCTTCTTTAACTTCTTGTCAAAGTTATATGTACATATCTAGCTTGCACTGCATTATAGTCTGTTACACTTGCTGTAAGGGCTTGTTATGATAGCCTTGCAGAATGCAATTAGGCGTTACTATTCTTGCCATGGTGCTCTTCCTCTTAGTTTTCAAAATTTCCTTCAGCTTCTCGTCATATGGACCATACATTCAGCAACTTATAGTAGTTCTCCTGGTTTACATTCCCTGCCTCCTTGCTCTATTTAAGTTCATGTGCAACTTTTCAGTGTCTTGTTCTCTTTTTTCCTTTCTTTTTTCTCTTTTTTCTTCTCTTTTTCTCTTTGGTGTATGTGGCATGCCAACCTACATGAAAAATTTTCTGATGGATAATGATTGCGGAAAATTTGTTATTTTTCCTGGCGGCATTGGCATTACACAATTAGGAATGCTTCAAGTATGATATATTTGTTATGGAGGCTACTGTTTCAAGGGCTTTCATTGGTAATAATTTATTGATTCTTAGAAATATGTATATGTACTACTAGTCATGTGAATAATCTATTGCTAATTGGCACGCATTTCACTTGAAGGCATTTCTTTTTTCATCTTAGTATTCATGTGATGCTGGTTAATTAAGGATGTATGTACTTTTTTTATTCCCGGCTATCTATGTTACTACATCACCCAGTTTATGTTAGAAGTAACTGGATGCAAGTTTGCTCCTTGCATCCTAATATCAAGTGCCTTCCAATTCCAGGGAGAAGATAATGACAGTTCCTAGAAAAGAGAAAAAGAGAGAAGCTAGGAGGGAGGAAAAGGCTGAAAAAGCTGCAATTTTGGAAAAGGTTGGCCTTTATCCCCTTGAGGTTATACTTCCATGATTCTTCCTGTTTCAGCTATTGATCTGGTAAGATGTTTTGTAGAGTATTGAGAAAGAACTGTTGGAACGATTGAAGAAAGGTGTTTATGGTGACATATATAACTATCCTGTACTAGAGTATAATAAAGTTCTTGACATGGAAGGTGGTGAAGAGAAAGAAGTTGAGGAAGAAGATGAAGAGGTATGCAAGCGATTTTATTGATCAACTGGGTTACTTCAGTTATTGGCAATTAAGTGAAAATTTCTCTTGTTCTGAATTAACCAGGAGCCTGAAATAGAATATGTCGAAGGTTATGATGAACTTGAAGAAGAACAAGAGGAAGAAGATATAGAAGATTTTACTGGTTTTATGAAGGACGTGTCTCTAAAGGGAAATGATTTTGGTAAAGATTCCTCAACACATTAATCTGTTGATTCTTAACATGATTTTGTTCTTATGTGGTTGCTCTTTTTATGTTTGTGACTTGAATGTTATTTTCTGGCATCTGTTACATTGATGAAGATGATGATGAGGCAGAGCCATCCGAAAAATCAACCGTGAGGAAAAGAACTAAAGGATCAGATTTAGATAAGGTCGATGATGATGCTCGTGCTACCAAGTTGAAAAGAAAGGGAAGAGTGACTATAGAGGTAAAACTTTATTGCTCGTCACCTTTGTAATGTATGCAGTATGCCTTTCAACATTTAATCTCACACACACATACACACTGCGAGGAAAATCAAAGAGGAAAATGAAAGCTGAAATAGTCTCATGATTTGCTGTTATTGTTGACAGCTAAAGGTAAATAGTAAGATTATCAGACACATATGTATTCCTGTTAAAGAGAATTCCCTGTGAAACTTTTTGTGGATTCTCCACCCTAAGGGATAACAGGTACTTAATTTAACCCTTCAACTAGCATGATCCTTCACAATCCAAATTTTGTATTGCAACCCACTTCGATATCTTTAATACCCCTGCTGCAGTGTTGAACGCAATTATTTTTGTATAAAGGTTTAAATGAACAGAGCTTGAGCGAGCCAGTCCTGTCTGAGATTCTGTTCAAAATTCAATATGGCTAGCTCGAGTTCACCTCACTTGCCTTTCAAACTTCGGTTGGGTCAAACTCATCTTGCTTTGAATTTAAAACTTTTAAATTCGGTTTGGTAAAGGTCAAAATTTGTAAATGAGATGCAGTTGAGCAATTTTTTGCTTTACCATTACGAGCTTGATTTTGCTCGATATTGTTCAATAAGCTTCTGAAAAATTATGTTCACTTAATTATCAATTTATTAGGAGTCAAAAGGTCTCTAGCACCCATTTGAAAAGCTCCCACAACTTTTCTTGTATTTCATCGTATAAGTATCCATCAACAAGTTGTATAAAAATGTGCTTCTAATAGATGTTTGTTATATTTAAAATTTTTTGCAGGGTTAGTTATAAAAAGGGGCTAGTGTTTATTTCAGCAACTTCTATAAAAATAAATGACCAATATGCGTAAGCAAATAAATGGGTGTTAAATATTTCACTAAGAGTTGAAAATATGAGAATGTCAACCAGCACATAGCATAAAATCATTCTAACATAAAACATGCACGCGCGCACAGGATCTTATTTGACCCCAACATGAGCCTGCTCAATTTTGGCGCATCGTTTAATCCAGCTAGCCAACATCAAGCAAATCACCAAGCACAACATGGGTTATGTGCTCGTTACTTGATACTTTGATACATGAACTGGGTTTACCTTTTTAACTGTTTATGTGTAGAATCTATTTCTGCAACAGTCATGACTTGATGTTTATGGGGAAAGAAAATGTTTTAGAATTCTCCAATTGAGAAATAGGTTTTTCTCTCTCCGTTGGTCGCGACCAAAAAGTTCAACTGTATACTTGTCACTTACGTTCGACAATCCTAGCCACACATTAGTTACGCTCTCTGATCAAATTTTTGTCAATTGAAATCAATAGCTAACCGGCAATCCTCAACTTAATGTTGCAGTTTGAACACGATGAAGATTTGGGAGATAAACAATCTGCTTGTTTGAGAGCCTGATGTGGTTACTGTATGTCCAAGTGATGATCAAATTAGTCGACAGCCTGTGCTTCATGGCGGCCGCAAGGGATGGATGAGTTCTGCAAGCGACCTACTTAGATCGACCTTTGAAGGACAATTTTGTAGTTGATGTAGTGTGCTAAAATGTACTGGTCTATATTACTGTTCTTTGTTTAGTTTTGGACAGTTCTCGTTGAAGATATTTTCATTATTTCTTATTTGATTGGGTATTTCGTTATTTCCCACCTTTATAAGGAAATATGCTATATTCTTTATAGTAATAAAAAAAATTCCCCGCTCTTGGGCTAGTAATGTAATGTCGTTTATCCGTTTAACATTAATAGTTAAAGAGGAAAAATGCCTTTTTCCCCCCTTGGTCACCTAATGTGCATGGCTTCCCTAAATAAAATAGGTGCCTTTTATATCAAAAAGAAATACAAAACTTGTATTACTAAGAACAGAGAAAGCAAACGAGAGCTCTCACCCATTTATGAATTATCGAGCATACACATTTGTTTATGCTCAAAGATGGATGAAGATCATACACATTTGTTTCTTAATTGTGAGCTTGTTTACTCAATTTGGAGATCAGTTCAATTTAAGCTGAAAACTGATGATGATTTTAAATTGAATTCTTTGAAGGGGGTATGGTTAAATTGGAACAGTAGTAATGTTGGGGAATCTAGTATGAAGAAGAATGTTTTCATTTGCTCTCTTGTTTGGTGTGTGTGGCAAAAACGCAATGATAGATTATTCTCTAATAAACAGAAGGGTTTAGGCTTTGGCGTTCATTCATATTTATGTTCATATCTTATATCGCCTTTGTCATTAGCTCTTATCTATATCATCCACTATCTTGTTTAGATTGTTTACCTCTTGTGTTAGTTTATATATCCTTACATATATATATTTCATCATATAGGATATATCTCATTGTTTACATTGCTTATCCTAGCTCATATATCTTGTGGTATTTTATTCTTGCTAGGATAACTCATTAATTAATTTTAATTGGCATTTAATCGGATTAGATTAGCATAAGACCCTAATCCCCCCCCCCTCTAGGGTCTAACAATTGGTATCAGAGCTTGGTGCTCTTTGATTTAAAGGTCTAACCGCCTTGAGTTAAAGATCCAAGTTATCTTATTTGTGCTAATCTTATTTTAAACCAATAATGTTAGTATTCTTATTTTTCCTCAATCTGCAGTGAAAACTTCCTCCTTTGTAAACAGAAACACAATCTTTAAACAAACAATAAAACCCTAAACCCTTGTTTAAAACACTTCTTAATATCTTGAAAAGACATCAGCAATGGGGTATTTATACCCTCTAAGAAACTCAGCAAAAACACCCAAAACAAAAGACAAAAGTAGCTGTTTAAAAATATCAAATAAATTCCAAAAAATGTAAAACTTTGGGGAATGATTGTAGACATGATAATAAACATGCTACAACGACTGGTTTCGAAAAAGGACTTCCCAAATAAAAAATATCATCATTTTGCAAAATAGTCCAAAACACGAAAATGTAAACATGTGAATTTTGATATTTTGGCTAAACCAACTTTTGAAACTTTACAAAATGATTTTATAGACTTGAAGAAAGATATAAACTATTGTTATGAAGTCTATAAACAATGAATGTAGTATTTTATCAAAATACACATATAATGCACTAAAACATGATTTCATTTAACTAACTAAAATTGATATTGATGAAATCATATATATGCATATGAGTATGAAACAAAAATATGTTTTCTAATTATATTCAATTGTTTCATAGTAAAACTTGAAAACTATCAAACCAAAACATATATGTATATATATAACTATATATATACAAAAACCAAAACGTGTATGTGTGTATATGATTGAGCTTAAAGTACTAACACACATAATATAAATTCCTAAACTAAATTACCCAAGCAATGATCTTGATCTTCAATAAGCTTGACTTGGTAATCTCGCGGATGAAGCTTGAACTTGGATCTTGAACTTTGAATAGCAAGGCTTCACCGACATTCCGCCAACCTCCTTTGAATATGATCGTTGAAGCTCTATTCCATCCATCCTCCAACTCGTTGTTTGTCTACAATGAATAGATAACACAAGCACTAGACAAACAACATTAGTTATAAATTGTTTGTTAAACATCATCAAAACAAGAAGGCCAACAATTTAATGAATTTATATGGTAATTTAGAACTATCTCTCTGTGTGCCTTTTAAGATCCAAACTTTTTCCATATAAAAGGGGTGAATTATGTTCATGTTATTTTCTTAGAATATAAAAATGATGAAGATCTTTTTCAATAAGTTGGTAAGCGGTGATGACCCAATCACTCCGCTCTTTGTTGTTTATTCCAATTTTAAGGACTAGTTTATAGTTATGTGGGATTCCATTGTTAACTTGAAAACCATTATTGTCTTACTATTAAAAAAACCACTTTTGTGATTGTAAAAATTCTACATGGGCTCATCTTGTCCCTTGAAATAGAAATGGAGTAAAACGATAACTTTTAAAATCTTTGGTGCCATTTTCTAGGGGAATGTTAGTCAATCAGAACTTTTCAAGTACAATTGAGATAATTGTTCAAGTTAGATAGATAATTTTATAAAGTAATATTAATTATAAATCTAATAAAAGAGTAACTATTAGTTATAAATTAAATTATATATGACCTTGTTCTCCTTGATAGGTGCCTTGGGGATGTAGCCGACCCGACCCGATCCGCTCCCATTTATTCTCCTAATCTGCCTTCTTCAGTTGATCTTCACCCCGCTATCATCACCGGAGCGAAAGCGGAGCTCCGACTGTGAAATTCCAGTAACCTCTCTCGCTCTCCTCTTATTTTGCCCTAATTTCTCATTGCTGCTCCCAAATTTCATCCCAATTTTTACTCGATTTTTCCCAAATCTTTTTGATCTCGCTCGGTTTACCGAGAGATCTAACAACCGTTTCCTTCATCTCGCAGGATCGCGGTCGTTATTTCCCCGAGATCTGTTGTTCGACGACGAGAATGAGCTCCGCTCAAGACCCGTTTTATATAGTTAAAGAAGAGATTCAGGAATCAGTGAGTTTGAATTTTTACTCAACCACACGTGAGAAAACTAGCTTAGATCTGGGATTAGACTGTTCATTTGGTTTAGTTATAAAGATTATTTGAGGGGATTTTTTTTTTTTTTGACCCTGTCATGTTGTTACGAATTAAGGATGTTTATGGCTGCATGGCAGCGTCGTAAATAACCTGATAATGTTTGGATGAACTTGCTGCATGGGTGGGAGGAGCTGCGGTGCATGTTGTTTTCTCGCTACGTTGTATTACTTGGAATATATTGAGTGCAGGTCTTAAAGTAGTTTATGGAGAGAAAAGAGGATTTATTCCGCATTGATGATGAGCAAGTGCTTAATAGTGAACGGCTTCCACTGTTTAAGATTTGTAATGTATCGATGCGTCATGCATCTATAACATGCTATGGGTTTATGGGTAGGGATGTGCCCTGAGAGTAATGATAGCAGACACGCGTGTTTTTCGCTTGTGCACTGACGCGAACCTTTGTCTATAACGTGTCTTATCTTGTGTACTTTTTGTTAACCCAATAATTAGGGATCAAGATTTGGTCCTTCTTATGTGCTATTTTCTGCTGGTACCGTATATATCTAAATCATAAATCTAGAAATCCACTGACGTTGGATATTGGGGAGAAAAACTTCTGGATAAAGTAGTTGGATTGATAGCGAATAGGCGAATACATTTTCATCATAAATGTTTTTGGAAGTGGGAAGGTTCATATATGATCACGAGATTTTCGAAGCAGGCCTATCCTCTACCAGAATACCCAAAATAAATAATAAGTAAAGAAAAGATAATTTGATGGTGATGCTCAGTAGGATCAAGGCAATTTAAAGATGCTTTTTTGCAGAGTAGGATCAAGGTAAGTGTAACATAATAGGAAGGTCGCCTAAAATATGACCTGAAAGCAAGAGTTTGAAGAACAAACGGTTGTTTGTTGGGTTGCGAAAAAGGGCTCAGCAGCATACGATGGTAGCAAATAGAAGACTGGCTAGTTAGATATGGGCTTAATCTCATGTAACTTCCTCTTACAATTATGAACTGATGGAATCATTGTAGCAGTAGTAATAAAGGGTAAGGTAGGGGTCTGGATAGGGCCTAAATCCTACAGAACTGCGAAACATGGGTAAGTGGAATCTTTGGTGGCATGAATGGAGATGAAGTAGACTCATCTGAGAAATTTGTGCCATGTTGAGCTTGGCTAAAAACAGGCAGGGGCTCATTCATTACAAGGATTTGAAGCTTTTAGTAAATCAGTGGACAAAGCCAAAGAAAATTATGATAGATAGACAGTAAGACGAGAGTATCATGATCTTACAGTTTAGACGAATGGTATTAGAAAACTAGTGAATTAGGAATCATGGACCTGTATATCTTATACTAATTGTTCTTTAGTGAATTGGAGTTGCAAAAACCATCAGAACTGTAGATCATGATATGTATGTTATGGTTTGATTTTTTTCTGGCACTGTAAAACTTTTGAATGAGCTACTTGCGGGAAAATGCATATAGCATTTACTGTTTCATATTTAGAGGTTCTAAGTATGTAAGTCCTAGGAAAATGACTCACCAAATACACTATTGTATGATAACAAATTCCTGCTCAGTTTACAGCAAAACTAAATTTCTCTGCCAATATACAAAATGCATTCCTATACATATTTTCCAGCAAAAAAACATGTCTTTTTTTCCATATATCCCTAGCTGACATCATCATGCATTACACTAAAACTAGCTTTATCTTTCACCGTTTCTTGATGGCCTGTATGGAGAGCACTAAATTCTTTGACTGTGCTGCAGATCATATGAATGATTGAATTCATGGAAGAAAACTAGCTTTATCTTTTTATGTTTCTTCATAATGCAAAGCTAAGTACACATTATTTCTTGTGTAGATTGACAATCTGCAAGCTACTTTCCGACAGTGGGAACGAACTCAATCAAACACTGGGGAGTATGTTCATCTAACCAAAGAAATTATTGCAAGCTGTGAAAGCATCGCTTGGCAGGTAGTATATTAAAGGATAATGAAGTTCTCTTCTATTTCATTTCATCTTATGTAGTTTAGAAGGTCTCCATCAACTTTAGATGATGTGTATCATGATAAGACCATGAGTGCTGGCCAAACGAAGTGCTGGAAGGGTACATTTTCTGGTTTATGCATGTGTCCGTGCATGTGTGTGCATTTTTTTATTCTTTTGGAGGGGTATCTTATGATTTCTTTCATTGTCCTTCAGCTGATTTTTGAAAAGCTCTTCCCTATTCCAGTTTGTTTATATTTCATCACTTACCCAGGTGGATGAACTGAACAAGACAATCACAGTAGCTGCACAAGATCCGGCATTCTATGGACTTGATGAAATTGAGCTTGAAAAACGTAGGAAATGGACTGCTACAGCTCGTAACCAGGTATTATCTACAGAACCCAAACACATGAATGACCCAGCACACAAAGACATACAACTAACATAATAAGGCACATGTCATGTCAATTTCCCGATAATGTTTGTCAATTTAACTTTGCACTTTGATGGGGGTAGTGGTGTTGTTTTGGAGGTTATTTCTAGCCTGTATTAGATAAGCTCTTGCCATGTGAAGATGCCATTTATATAAAGAATTCTTTGCATATTATTCTTCGTCGCATTCCATTCATGTTTCATATTTTCTTCTTTGCAATGGAAGGTTTAAGTTTGAATCTTGACAAGTTTACTACTTTGTGCAGGTGAACACTGTGAGGAAAGCAACAGAATCTGGCAAGGAAAATGGTAGTTCAGTAGGTTATGGTCTCAGTGGAATGCGCCAAGACCTAATGAGGCTTCCAAATGATTATGCTCTTCAGTCTGGCATATCAAACCACCGTGTTGCTAATGACAATGATGATTTCATCTCATCAGAATCCGATAGACAACAACTTCTTATAAGGTACTTGTTTTTCACTTGATATTCCTGTTTTTTTTGTTTTTTTCCCAAATCAATTTATATTATTTAGTTATTGCTAGTTACCTATGAACATCAATTATAAATATATAATACCGGCAACTAAGTGAAGTTTGTTCACCCATGTACAAATAGGGCGTTCCATCACCTTGAAATGAGATCCAGATTCATTCTTGGGTTTCCAGTTTTGGGTGGTATGGATGAGGACCGCCATGAATGAGGATGCACAAACTGCATTGTAATTCAAGAGGATTGAATGTTAGATAACACAGTTCAAAAAGAAAATGAAAAGAAAAAAAAAAGTAAAAAGGAGAATTAACTAACTTAGCTATGATAAACGAAAAACATTAGAAAGCTATGCAGTGCTGCAGTTCATTTCTTTTTACTTATCACTTCTGTTGCAAGAGCTTTAGATGCATGCCATAGACATGCTTGTGTTATCATAATAATAGTGGACTTATGGCCTTATGGGACCTTAATTTACCTCTTGATCCTGTCTTATTTACATCATACTGAATAATGTTGAAAGCTCCCTTCAGAGGTATCAATGATAATATTGTCTTGCTCATAGCAGCCACTTTTATTCTTTAGGCAGCAAGATGAGGAGTTGGACGAGCTTAGTGCAAGTGTTCAGAGAATTGGAGGTGTAGGGCTTACTATACATGAAGAGCTCTCTGGGCAGGTATTATGATATAAAATTATCATTAAGTGGTAAATTATGGGGAATTAGTTGCTACTTTAGACTATGCATGTATTCTGACTTCATAACTCACATTCTAACTTTTTGTGTACACATTTGAAAATTTCTACGCCCTCATATTTCTAATGCACTATCTCGCGTGCTATCATTCTCTTATGATGCTCCAGGATAGGATTTTGGGTGACCTGAGTATAGAGATGGAAACCGCATCAAATAGGTTGGACTTTGTGCAGGTGTGTTGTCAGCTAATCCATGTATTTTGTTTTACCATCTCTATCGTCTAGACGCATTGATTATGGATATTATTTAAGTCTTGTACTGATGAATAGACTGAGGAAATCTAAATTTGGAAAGGAGAGGGAAATTTCTGTTTTAATTTTTGTTGCGATAACTCTCATCAGTAAGTATAAGCTGAAAATATCATACCTTAGTCTATTCGATAAGTTTCCAGTTTCGGCTTCTGATTGTGCTAACTTACTTTTCTGTGCAGAAAAAAGTGGCTATGGTCATGAAGAAAGCTAGCGCAAAGGGACAGTTAATGATGATAGTATTCTTGGTGGTTCTCTTTATCATTCTTTTTATCTTGGTTTTCTTCACATAGAAGAGGCATAGGAGTATATAGCGGTCTAGCTTGTTACTTTCAGTGTAAACATTTGTGGATCGCTTGCATTTGTTTTACTATCAAAATATGTTTTGGTCTACACAGTGATTCTTAAAACTGTAAATTTAGAACATCGAATATCAAGTTTTGCTGAATGATAAGTATTGAAGGCAATGTGAATAATGAGGAGTTCTAATGATGAGAGTTCTCAATATCAAGTGAACGTCTTAGAAAAGTTCTTCAATTTAGGCTCTAGGTAATGTGACGCAGTTGACGGCAATCATCAAAAGCATTTTCCCCCCTTCCAGTTTATGTACTTGGTATGCCGTTCACTATGAATAATATCTGTCCTATTCTCTCCAAAATGAGAATCCCAATGTCTCCTTTCCTGTGGACTTCGTCTTTTCTTCTTGCAATTTCGCCTCCTAAAAGCTCCAAAGCCACCTCCTCTTTGTCTCAGTCTCCAAAGTTTTCACCGCGTTAGCAGGACATATAATATGCACACGGCCAACAATCCTTGACTTAACAAAAGTCGAAACGGCTATAAATAAAAGTGCTCTACTCAGAGTTTCGACGCCCATCTTTGTACATTTGCAATGGCCAGCTCCATGGCTGCAACGCACGTGCAAGCAGCGAGACAACTGGTTCAGATGAGCAAAGGAGAAGGAGAAGAAGAAGACACCGAGGGAAAGGAGAAGCTGGTAATAAGGAGAGTAGATCGTGCAACGAAGAGAAAGGAAGTCGAAAAGAAAGAAGAAAGCGAGGAGCGTAGATGGTTAAAGAGACGACGAGTTCGGTCTACTGCTCACATTTATATGATAACCCAACCCATCGGTGCTCATGCACGAAGAGAGTAGCCATGAATATAAACAGAGAGAGGTCACTGAAAGCGAGAGGGAAAGCGCAGGTACCTGCACATTGAAGGTACGTGACTATTGACATTAAGCCCTGTGGGTTCAAGATGAAGGCAAACGGTATTATTGAAGTTGTAGCCAGGAAAGGCCTCATCACCTTCCAATAAATGAACAATAATATATACAAGAATACCTCTGCAAAAATTAGCTCCCGCCCATCTGCTCACATGTTCATGCGAACTCTCTCATCCAACATCAGGACATTTTTTTGAAATTTCCAGCAGGAGGCAAGATTTTTTTTGGAGCGATAACCAATTATGTCAGCAAAAGAAAGTCACAACAAATCAGAAGACTGCATGTTTAATATATAACACTGGAAATTTGTTGCCAAGACATAACAAATCAGCCTGCTTACATAGTTCGAACGTCGACCAATCTTTTCACAGACACGCAAACATAAAAAATTATAAAAACTACACTACACGCATTAGAGTTCATCTTTAGTTCTTCGCAAGCTCTGTAGAGGCCGCCGACTAGAATCAGATATTGGCTTCTCAATGTGATTTCGGGAGCTGTCCACCTTCAGACCCACTGCGTTCTCTTTGTTTCTTATTACATCATCAATTAAAGGATAGGATTGCATTGGTGTACTATGAACACTTTCCTTAGTCTCTTCAATCTGATTAAGCTCACTGCCCTTATTTTGCTCTGAAGAGACATAATACTTACAGTCATAAACCACAGATGAAAAAGGTGAAGAAAACCTGTAGAAGCATATTGCCAACTAATTTAGAAACTTACCCTGGCTCATATCAAAGCCAGATTTTGAATGTTCAGGTGACTTCCCTATTGTTGATTCCATGGGAAGTTGAGAATTTACTTCCCGAACCTCAAGATTGGAATCATCAAAATCAGCAAATGACCGATCAAAATCGTCAAAATATTCATCAGGTGCCATGAGTTCATCTTTGTTACCTATACTTTCATCATGCATTGCTGTACCAGTATCCCTAAAAGCTCCAGTATCCAGAGAAACCGACGACTGTTGAGCAGTAAAAATTCCCTGGTATGTGGAATACTCGAATTCATTTTCAATAGACCTCTTCACTCCTGAATTCTCCTTGAAGAAAACTTGATCAGCAAAATTTGTGCAGTTTCTAGCATTCAGCTCTTCTTGATTAGCAACTGTTGCCATTGTTATAGTTTCAGTTTGATCAAATGTGCAGTCTCTTGTAGCTGAACCTTCAATTTTTGTACCATCTAAACCATCAGCATTTTGATCTTCGGTAAATCTAGATATATCTAAAGCTTCCTGAATATATACTCTTCTTTCTTCCTGACCCCCAGATTGCTCAGCAGAGTATGTAGCTGAAGATCAAACAGTAAATAGAACTTCTACGAAAATCTACCTAAGA